CACCCCCGGGCTGGTTTTAAAATTCCTAGATTAAATTCTATACTTTGTCATTTGTCATAAAAAAACTCAAGATACTCCTACTTGGACAAGTGGGGACCGCTTTTCAAAGTTAGCACTGAACCAGAGCACATTTCCTGATAGCCTCAAACTACAGTGGGACTCCCATAATTGTGGTCTTGCCCCAGAGCCTCTCAACCCACCCCTTTTCCCCCAATAACCTGACTTAGGGATAACTAAAAATGGCAGCAGAAGGTTAACTGGCAACAATCCATAAATTTGCTTTAACTTTTAAAATCCAACCTTTCAGATTAAGTTTTGTTTAAAAAAATGGTCATTTAACATTTTTGATTGCTGTGGGAACCTTCTAGCTTGCTTAGTAACAATTTTGTCTTAGATCACTAAGAAATCTTACCTTCAGGAAAATGGCATAAGTAATCTGCTAAATAACAAAGTCTTGCTAATAATAATTAGCCCGGGCTTCCCTACCAGAAAGGCCTCCTCAGAATGACTAGAGAAGGTAAGTGTGTAGTTTACTCCTTCCTTGTTCCCCCGCAAAGTGTGCTCTCTGCTCTGTATGTACATGTAACTTTTAAAATATTTAAAGGCGGGGCAAGAGTCTCACGTCCATATTTCCCAATTAGCTTGGCATGATGCCCTACAATAAAGTGCTTATTTTTCACATGGGAATCTCTTTTACAAATGAAGATGAAAATATATATATTATCTTTTAAGTAACTGCTTATGTAAGTGATACTGCAGATACCAGGGAGTATAACTCAACAAGAATATAATTAAACTTTCTTCTTCCTATGCATGTTAGGTCTATTGCTGGTTAACACTTTTTCAAGCTGTATCATTTATTAGATCAAGGCACACTGCAAAGCTGCTTATAATCCCTTTGCCTAAAAAGTGAGGTCAAATGATATTAAGATGCCAAAGATCAGCCTGCACAATCCTCTTCTACTTCTAGTCAACACAGTCAACAATCCAAAATAATTAAATGGAGAACAAAAATGTGTATTTTCTTCCAATTACAATAATTCCCATTGGTAACAGAAATGAAATGCTAAACACTCACTTGGCAGTCTTACCGAAAAAAATTTCAGGTCGGGCAGTTGAGATAAAATCATGACTGAACACTTGCCAAATCCACCCTCACTTACCTCCTCTCAGCATTACCTCCCACCAATAATTCCTCAAATAAAAGACTAGATGAGTCAACCCCAAATTTCAAGTGTAGGAGCCAAACCCCCCCAACATCCCCCCCAAACACTGGGGCAGCTAACCAAGGCTTGGGGGTGTAAGCCACAGACCAGAGACACTTGCTATCTGCTCTTTTATTTTCCCAATGAGTAGTAGATGTGCTCTTGTCAACCAGTTATGTGAGCTGATGGGGAGGACAAGGCATTTTGGAAATTTGCTTAGAGCAGCAAGTCTTTGAACAATAGTATCAATACTAAACCACAGCAGCTTATAACCAAACACATCAACCACACCCTCATCTGTCCCGGATGTGTATTTTACAGTTTCTTGCATAAGTTACCAAAAATTAAAGTCTTATATCTGGCAAATTATATACAGTCTGCAATGTGCAGTTATTGCTACCGTGTCTTCCCTCTTTCAATGGTAAACTGTTCTCTTCTTTTAGGAGGAAGTTCAACTTTCATATATTAGAGATCCCAGACTATTTCCCTACTCCTATTTGGGATTCTACTTGAGGGAAAAGGGGGTTGGGAGTGGTTGTGAAACGTTTGATAAATACTAGGTTAAACCAAGTTTTAAACAGTTCCTTAAGCAGGATATCTCAGACTCTTTAATATGATGATGTGCATTATTATAAACCTCTGGGAGGTAGGGGAATAAAGCATATAGCATGTGCAAAGCACATTTGCTCATGGAATCCTTTTCATGGAACATGTGGGATTGAGGGTTTCAAGGAACACATTGGGAAATGATGGCTTAGGTATATGTTAGTTTTGACAGGCTAGCTTGGTACTTACTTTGTAACACAGAGTCTATGAAAAAAAATCACTTTTTGAGTTTGAAACATTCTGTTCAGAGACAAACTTGTGGAACGCAAACCAAATCACATGAATTTAGACATCTCCAGCCACTGTATAATTGTACTTTTGAGATTTTTCCTCAATGGTATATAAACCTCAAACAAAATTTCCAAATTTCTTCAGATTAAAGTAAAAAACAAAAACTCAAACTAAACACTTGAAAAATGTTACTCCTAAAGCACACGATGTGTATCAATAATCCAAATAAAGTTTACTTGTAAGGTACAACTGCAAAAATGAGGGAATTTCTACATCTAAAAAGGCATGGATAAAGAGTATAAAATTTAGTTACATCTGGATTTGAATCCTGTCAACTGGCATGTATGAGACATTGAGACTGAAGAATTTGGCCAAGAGCATTTTCCTCACTTACAAAGTGCTGATAAGATACCTGTTCTGCGTGGTTGTTCTGAGGATTATATATTGGACACCTAGCACAATGCTGGGCAACTAAACAAACTACTCTGCCACAGTGTAGTTCAAGACCCTCTCCTGGTATCCAGAACATTTAGCCAATGGAACACGATAGCTGTGTAACAAGAAAATAAAACCCACACACACTCGTCATATTACTGTATTTTATTACAATATGTTCGGTGTACTAATTTAAGAGGAAAAAATGTAAACAAAACGGAAGTCTAGGGAAAAATGGCACTTTGCTTTAATCTTCAATTTAAAGTTATTTTTAACAATCCATTTATACCATTATATGTCCCAGATTTTAAAGAGCATCATTGCTGAATTTCAGACTGAAAAATAAACAGAAAAGATGACATCAAAGGAGTTAAGCAGAGAAGAGATATTGATTAAAAAATTGAAAGTAAAATCTACTTTGGCTAGAACTGAACACTGACAGATAACTTTCTCCAAAGGAAAATCTAACTTGAGTCATGAAGGTCCATTTTTTTGTATAGTTCAATACTGTGTCAATTAGGAATTCATGACGATGAACAGTTTTACTCAGTCACATTTGACTACCTAAAATCCTACTGGGCATGCTATTTGCCATGTCTTATTCCTCTTACATAACTATCTACTTCCTGAAACCAGAAATGCAAGTTTGCCTGTGATTTAAGTTTCAAGAAATAGTTTGTAGAAAACACCAAAAGGATCAGTTGTTAAAGCTCTTACCTTTTCTTCACTGTATAGCAGCTATTTCTACAAATAAAGAGCATGTGGATACTTTCTAAGGACTCGAAATGAGAAAACCAAAAACAGAGGTCTGTGCGCATGAACATATGTACACACATATGTATAAGCTTAAATACCCCCAAACAGGTTTAAACAGGTAAGAATACCTCAACATTCTAATTCAGAAAGTAGAGATAAACATTGTTTATAAATCAGTAGTATTACTAGCTAATAATTTTTAGTTAGAACACTATACCTGCAGTTCAAAAGTACTGATTGGATTCCATTAAAAAAAAAAAGACATTCAAATTAATTAAAACATTCTTCTAACAGCAAAGAATTCTCCCACTTATTTATTTTGACATATTGATATTTCTATAAACTTGCAAGTGGAAGAAAAGCTGTTCAATAAAAGCCAATTCATACATACATACAGTATACAGAAATTATTTTAAAAGTCTGTTCATATAATGGATTCCTTTGGTACTAACAAAAAATTAAGATACAAATAATTGACTAGAAATGAAACCATCACTAAACTAAGATACACAGGAACTGCACTTCATTTCAGGGAAGAAGTCCAAATCTTACTGTGTTAGAAGAATAAAGTACATTTGTCATAGTATACATTATGATATTCCCTTAAAGCAGGAACTATTTAAGGTTTTTAAATTTAAAAAGTGTTCAGATTTACTTCTGTCTATACATTCAGGAACTATCATCATATCACTGGTTACACACAATTCTCTCATCATGCAAAAAGAAACCCCCAAAAACCTCAGTTAGTTGTTTTCTAAGGTCTAATTAAGTCAAACAATAAACTAATAATAGCACTTTAATTAGCAAGCTGTAAATCACAGAGGTGTAGAAATTCTGCAGTTGAATTGTGTTTCCTGTCTATAGTACTGCTGCTATTCAATCTATTTTCTCCATGTATTAGAAGAACTAATAGGCATTGATAGTCAAAATAAGATTTTCATTGTTGCAGCAAATGACAGAATATGTGAGAAAAGGAAAAGTTCCTAATGTCACGACAATCTTTATGATCCTTTATAAAGGTAAAGGATTCTGTGCATATGTGTGGAAAGGAGTAAGAAACAAAGGTAGGAAGTTAAGACAAGTAGATAAAGGGAAAGCTGAGACTATATTAGAATTATATTTATTTAAAAAACTGATCTGAAGTCTGCCCATTGAGTGTACAAAAAAAAAGTCAGAGCAGACATTAGTGCAAGTTTAACCTGATAATTTATTTGTGGAAAAAGCTAGTTTTGATGAGAGAAAGTTTAATCCTTTCCTTGTAAACATAAAAGAAACTCAACAGGAATTTTAAAGGTAGTATACCAGAAAATGCAACAGTAACTCTTATAATTCTTTTCAATTAAACAGACAAGTTGAAGGTGCATGTTAAAATACTTTTCAGACTGAATATTTATCAGCCTGTATGATCTGTTGTTCCAACTGGATTTTGATTTTTAAAAAACCTAATTTTTTATAAGAGCTATCACATCTAGAAGTGAAGAAAATAAATTAGATCCCTTCTCCCTCCCCAAAAGATATTAACTTCTAAAGCATAAAAAGCTATATATCTTATACAAATTAACCAGTGTTCTTACAAAAGTAATGTAGTTTTGGACTGATGACATTATGCTGTATTTGTGGTGAAGTACTAGGCACAAGAATATATGTATCAATTAGGCATTTTCAGTCTATTTAGTCTCTAAAGTTATTTAATTCTTGGCAATATATAATAACTGGTACGCATTTTGGTACTTAAGTCATGAATTGTAGAGAACAAGAAGCAGTATGTTATAGTAACAGGGTTTGTATCTGACAATTACTGTGCTGAACGAATCCCTTCTATGAGCTCTGTGATTTGTTTTGCAGTTGGTCACATGTAGTAGATCCTGCAATGATAAAAGAAAAAACAGCAACATAATTTGTTTGTTGAGTATTGCCAAACTTGGAACTACCTGAGCTAAAGTTTCCTTCCACTGCTACGTATGATAAACAAATAGAAAGATCTAAAAAACAAGTAAGATATATTTCATGCAGACTGATCAGTAAGATATGAAACAATCTGTATACCCCATAAATATAAAGAGCAGAGCAGGTGTATCTATTTAAGTGACAGGACAATAGGTTTCAGGTTGAACACGTCTGTGAATAAATCACAGGTGGATAGCTAAGAGTTTATTACAACTCAAATATCCAGAACTATAAAAGATTTGTGTTTATGATATAAAAATGATAAAAAATTTCCTGAGAGTCTAAACATGCCACATTTCTTTTTATAAAAACAGTAATAAAACAGGTGGGGATGGGCAGGAGTGTAGAAGAGGGGGAAAAGAAGGAAAATGATAAAAAAGTAATGGGTGCCATAGATCCTTGGAGATTTTAAAAGCTGGTAAAATTTTTTTAAGCGGCCAAGAACAGAAAATAAATAATGAACTTTCTTCTCTGTGCCTTATTATGTAGTCTTTTCTATCTTTGTGGACGTTATTGAAGCGAAGCAGTATATACTCCTATGTAAGTGGTGCTGGTACAAATTTCCATTGGCAAATGAAGGGTATTCCCAACGCTTTGTTAGACTCGCTACAAATGGATACTGAAAGTCTGAGAAGAAACTGATGAAAAGTTATAACCCAGAAACATCTGCATTGAATACATAAAAAGAAATCACCAAGATATAGGTAACAGGGAAACAAAGACCAGCTAGGAGATAGGTCACCTAAAAATGGATAATTGAAAGAGAGAGAAGAGAGAGACATACAACAATAATTACTCAAGATAAAGTTTGTTCAAGTTAAACAGACTATGGTGAATAAAATGGAAAGAAAATGCTGTATGAAACAAACTGAAACGCAAAAGCATAACATGGAATAAGAAAAAAATATTGTCATCCTGCTATTATAATGAGCACAGTCATCAGGTTCTACCACAGAATCACTTATATTTCATATCTGCTCACCAAAACAATAATATAATAATTATTTACTTTCCTAAGACTTAATCATCCAAGGCACAACATATAAAAGTAAGTTACTAGGGAGGGTGGGAGGGAGGGAGATGCAAGAGGGAAGAGATATGGGAACATATGTATATGTATAACTGATTCACTTTGTTATAAAGCAGAAACTAACACACCATTGTAAAGCAATTATACCCCAATAAAGATGTTAAAAAAAAAAAGTAAGTTACATCTCCACTCAAAAGCACCAGTTTGCAGCACAAAGAGTAGGTAGATGGGCACAAAATCTGCATTAATGGTATAGAAGATTCACCTTTGTTGAATGCCAGAATAACAGTTTATGAAAAATAAATAAATAAAATCAATTTTCTATGACTGATAGAGAGTTGGTAGGCTGCAGTGGCTGCTTGTCTGAGACTTAAAACAAACAAAAATCAGCCAAATAATTTGTTGACCCAACAGTCAAAAGAATCAACACTGGAAAGACATGACATACTTTATGCCTGAAGGGATGTTAAAACAAATCTTCCATGTTAAAAACATGTTTCTTTAAAAAGTTTAAACCTTAATTGACATTGTTACGACAGACAAAATATGATCTGAACCATTAAAAACAAAGTATAGCTTAATATGAAGACAAACATCATTGCTTAAAGCCAAGTAGACCAAACAACATAGACATATAACATAACATATGGGCTTAAATCAACTCTGAGCATAAAAACATTATTTTGAAACTGACCAACAGGGGTTGAAATTTTCTAAACTTTTGGCATAAAAAGTGAATTTTAGCAAAATTTTCTGAGGTTCTTCAAAGTTGCGAGCAAAATGAAGTATATTATTTAGGTACAAAGGACCAAAAGTGTCTCAGTGATATTTTCAAAACACCTAACCTTGATTTGATTCTTCTGTATTCATGCTTTCTCCAGCTGCAGTCTCTGACATTTCTTCATCCTCCTCATCATCATGTAGGTCTTCTGAAATTAATTGTCTAGCTAATTTAATATTCAGTCCTTCATTGTAGTGAAGCTTCCTTTTCATTTCAAACTGTCGCTTTTTTTCTACAAGATACAAAAAAATAGGCGTCTTTAGCTCAAAGATTGGCAAACTACAGCCTGTGTCTATTTGGTAAGTAAAGTGTTATGGAACACAGTCACGCTCATTTGCTTTTGTAATGCTTAAGACTGCTTTTGTACTCAATGGCAGAGTTGAGTAGTTGCAATAGAGACCATATGGCCCTCAAAACCTAAAATATTTACTGTCTGGCCGTTTGTAGAAAAAGTTTACCAACCTTTGCCTTAGATGCTTCAAGTACGTCTTAATGGGAGACTAAGAGTAAGAGCCATTAGTAGTTATATTTGTGAAGGAAATTTAAAGATATAGGAAAATTCTCCAGATAGAGTTGAATGGGAAAAAAGGAAAACTATAATACCATATACATACTATGTTCAAAGCCTGCGTGCATGCACATGTGCACACACACACAAAATAAGACTTGGCAATTAACAGCCGTTAATTCTGGGTCAAGGAACTATGGGGTAATTTTAATGTTTTCAAGTTTTCTATTTTTATAATTCAGAAAAAATTCCTTTAAAAAATTCTTATTATCCATTAAGAAATTGCCATGATTTAAAACATTGCTGGCTCTAGAGAGGGAGGGAGGGAGGGAGGGAAGAAGGGACGGGGGGAGGAAAAAAACCCCGAACATTGCTGGCCTAAAAACATAACCTCATTCCCAGAGTAATTTTAAGAAAAATGTGTTATTAGCAACAGTAAAGTGATTCTAGACTATTCTTTATTTATAGTCTTCACCACAGAAACATAAAAATAGCTGTAAATCAACACAACTGATCATACTTTATCAACAGATAGCACTTTAAAGATCAACTGTTTAAGAAATATTTTAAGATTTTAGAATTTCTTAGACCAGTAAATTGAAAAACAAAAAAGGAGTCGACATAAAATTGCCAACTGTTTATTTTGTCAAGAGCATTAAAACTCATTCACCATAGGTTTATTATGGTATTCATAAAAATATTTTAATGCCAAAAAGGCATAAGAGAAATCTCTCAGAATAAGGCTATTCAAAGTACTTTCTCTATGTCCCCTAATTCCCTCTATCAAACCCACATCCCCTGCAGTGGAAGCGCGGAGTCTTAACCACTGGACCGCCAGGGAAGTCCCTCCCTTTAAGTTTTTATCATCTGTACTTATTTATGTTCTAAACACTGGCATTTACAGTTGTCACTACTGATCAGTCACTTTTCAGCCTCTATTTGGGTTGGGAGAAGGAAAGTTCCAAGATCAACATCCATATCATCATACCATAAACATTTGTTGCAAACTACCAAGATCTTGCCAGCCATCTTTCTCCTTCTTTAAGTTACTTTTGTGATTTGTTTTACTCTTTGAGAGTAACATATTGTAGAACAAAGTAAAATTTTTTAAAAAAATCAATAAAAGACCAAATCCTCATGACTAAATTTTTAGTGATAACTTTCAGATGATGTAAAAGCCAAGATTAAAAAACAACAAAAAATGATTCTAATTGCCTCCAATACCAGATACATTTACTAAAAAGGTAAGACTTTTTCTCAGTACAAAGTAACACATGTTCTTTTTCATGCAACTTAAAAAAACTTTTACAAAGTTTAAAAAAAGTTAGAAACTTAAAAATCACTCAATCTCCACACTCAGAAATTATCATTAATATTTTATGACTCGACTTTTTTCTAAAAATGTATTTTTTATAAAAATGAATCATACCTTGTATGTATGTGCTGTTTTCTCACTTACTGTATAGTTAGAATGACCACGTCCCAGGAAGTCTCAGTTTATGCCTATTGTCTGATGGAGCTGTATTAGTGACCCTTTCACTCTTAAAATAATCCAGAGTTTAGACAATAAAGTATATGAAGATAGAGTAAAATTCTGCCATGTACATAGCAGATTTACATAATTTTTAAAAGGCTATAAAGTAGTGAGTTATAATTTAATCCCCTATCTTGGTCAAAGGTTTCTGATTTCCCCCTTTGTATTTTCATTGTTTTTTATGATGTAATATACAGTTGACCCTTGAACAAAGTGGGGATTAGGAGTGCCTACTCTCCTCACAGTTGAAATCCACATATAACTTTACAGTTTGCCCTTCATATTCACAGTTCTGCATCTGTGGATTCAACCAACCGCAGACTGTGTGTAGTACTGTAGTAGGTATTTAGTATAAGTGGACCTGCACAGTTCAAACCCATGTTGTTCAAGGTTCAACTTACATATTTGTGCATCTGTTCTATCATTTTCTCAACATTAGTTAGTGTTTTTCTTTTTGTTTTTTTTGCGGTACGTGGGCCTCTCACTGTTGTGGCCTCTCCCGTTGCGGAGCACAGGCTCCGGACGCTCAGGCTCAGCGGCCATGGCTCACGGGCCCAGCCGCTCCTCGGCATGTGGGATCTTCCCAGACCCGGGCACGAACCCGTGTCCCCTCCTGCATCGGCAGGCAGACTCTCAACCACTGCGCCACCAGGGAAGCCCTAGTTAGTGTTTTTTTAAACTGTGCCTTATAATCCTTTAGTAAGTTATAACCAGCATTTTAAAGAAATGAAACAAAACAGAATAAACTAGATAGCACATATCACATATAGTAAAAGTTAAGTAATGTTTTGTGAAATTTTAATTTTTATAATTTTATGTTTACATGTATACTGAGTGGCACTTGGTAAAAAATGTTTGAGAAACATTGATATAAAGCCTGGGAAACTGAATTGCTAGAGCAAAGGGTGTCATTTTCTTTTAAAGCTTTTGGCTCATATGTTGCCATACCGCCGTCCAGAAACGCCAAACCATTTTTCACACCCACCAATTGTATATGAATAACTTATTTCTCCACATTCACACCAAAAGGGATATTGTCATTCTCTTTAATTTTTGTTGATCTGAAAGGAAAGAAAGGCACCACGACGCTGTTTTAATTTGTAGTTTCTTATTCCTAAGAGTTGCTCTTACGGTATTTTTCTTTTGTCAATTACACTAATAGTCTAAGAAAATGATTTCTTTTTAATTCTAAGAGATATTAAACTCAGTTTTGCTTGTTATATATTTTAGTTTTGCAATACTCAAAATTTATTATATAATTTATGTATTTATTTTGTAGAAAGCTAATGTAAGTGGTCTCAACCTTCTTTGAATATTTACTTATAATCTTTGTATGGCAGAGCAACATAATGCCAAAGAGTATAAAAATTTTCAGGTTTCAGGCCCAGCTCTAATAATAATCAACTATCCATGTGAACTTCACAAGTAAATTATCCTTTTTATACTTTCTTTTGCTGTTTTTAAAAATAATATAATGGAGAATATACCAATTATTTAAGTTATTAAAAGTTAATATTTACTGAGTACTTAATTCTTTATCTCATTTAATACTCAAAAATGACTCCAAATATTTTTATAGCCCCCCATTTAGAAATGAGGAAACTGAGGGTAAGAGAAATTAGGCAAATTAGGTGAGTGACATACCTAGAGTACAAACTTAGATCTATCTGACTCCACAGCCAATATTTGAATTGTTATGTTACTAGTTACAGGATAAAATTTTCTTTCTTTTTCTTTTTTTTTTTTGCGGTACGCGGGCCTTACTGTTGTGGCCTCTCCTGTTGCGGAGCACAGGCTCCGGACTCGCAGGCTCAGCAACCATGGCTCATGGGCCTAGCCGCTCTGCGGCATGTGGGATCTTCCCGGACCGGGGCACGAACCCGTGTCCCCTGAATCGGCAGGCGGACTCTCAACCACTGCGCCACCAGGGAAGTCCCCAAGATAAAAGTTTCTAAGAATTTCTTTAATAAACAAGGATGTTCAGACATGTAATTTATTTAAAAGCAATAAACACCTGTATCAGTAACTCTTACAACTGGGAACTTGAACTTGTGAAACTAACTAGTGAAATGGTTCCCCCTGCTGGCTAACTCCTGGAACTACAATTTGAGGGAAAAATCCCTTAATGAAACTGACAATAGAGGTTAATAAAAAAATTCCCTGTTCTCAGTAGATCAAGTTTTCAGAGAATAAGGAATCAACAAACTCTAGGAACAATTTCTATCTGAAACCATTTCAAGGGCCTTTGGGGTATATTTTGGGAAAATAAATCAGGAAGTCACTGAGGATATAAGATAATATAATACAATTTGAGATTATGCTGTATGTAAAATTTCTTTCTTGTATAGTATTCAAACTATCAGAGTTTTGTTCAATACACTACATTCTAAAGATGATAGGAGGGAATAGCAAATTCTACCTTTACAGCTACACATGACAAAGATCCTGACAGTTAACTAGCAAATATTCAGAATCTTAGTTCTAAAGTTTCTAAACTTCTTTACAGTACATACAGGTAGTTTTCCACATTTCAAGCCTTCAAGTAAACAAACTACTCGATCTCTTTTTTCTTTTTTGTGAGGGTGTGTGTTTTTCTTGCATCTTTTTTCCTATACATAGGCTTGGTTTTCCCTTTTAAAAATAACTGAAGGGACTTCCCTGGTAGTGCAGTGGTTAAGAATCCGCCTGCCAATGCAGGGGACACGGGTTCAATCCCTGGTCTGGGAAGACCCCACATGCCGTGAAGCAACTAAGCCCGTGCACCACAACTACTGAGCCTGCGCTCTCGAGCCCATGAGCCACAAATACTGAGCCCGTGAGCCACAAATGCTGAAGCCCGCGTGCCTAGAGCCCGTGCTCCGCAACGAGAAGCCACTACAATGAGAAGCCCGCGCATCGCAATGAAGAGTAGCCCCCACTCGCCGCAACTAGAGAAAGCCCACGTGCAGCAATGAAGACCCAACGCAGTCAAATAAATAAATTAAATTAAAAATAAATAAATTATTAAAAAATAATTGAAAATAAACTATATAAGCAATTTTCAATTCCTGAGATTATACATTCACATCCTTCAAAATTATAAAAAGCAACAAAGTGAAATATCTTCCATCTTTCCTTACCTCCACAGATAAGAACTAATACTTGTAAAAACAGAACAATGAATAGGTAGCAATGCCTTAACTGTGTATGTACTGTGTGGACTAAAAGAGCCTCTTTCATCCTTGTTGGGAGGGCTATCTTTATCTCCTTTCCTGTGACACTTCTGTTCTTTCTGTTCAATGGGACCTAACAAAAATCTTTATTCGAAGTCTTACCATCTTGATTCATTTGGTAAGCTTCACCACTGCCTTAATACAGAAAAAGCACAAGCAATTGAGAAATTAGCTCTTACTGCTATCCACTTTAAGATCATCCAAACACTCAATGACCCTAAATGCATTAATTTAATAAATATTTACTGAGCATCTACCTGGTACAGATGCTTGGTACAAAGAATGGAACAAAAAGTGCAAAGAAAGGAACACATGTTAATTCCTTTAAAGACAGTAATATTTTCTTGAAATGGTGGGGGGGTGGAGCTGTCATACAGTAAACCCACACAAGTAGAATCTGAATTATAAAAATGTTGCTCCCTAATCTCCCACCATCCACTTCCTAAAAAGGAAAACCATTTGACAGTCTTCTATATAATGAATTTATCTTAGCAAAAATTATTAGCAATGCTAAAAGCAGTAAAAGAAACTACCTCGTTCTTCAGGTGAGAGGTCACTATCCTCATCTTCACTGCTTTCTTGTTCACGAACTCGACACTTTGGCTCCGAGCTTTCAGCAGCAGCAGTTAATCTATACAACAATCATTTAAAAAGAAATCAATACTGTGATAGTCTTATATTAGTTGAGTGTCTCACTCAACTTTTTAGTCTCATAAAAACATCTAAAGATCATTAATATGCTAGCTATAACCTGATGAGGAACATAAAAAGCAAGAGAGTGGGACTGTATATAGAAACCAATAAACAAGAAGAGTGGAAGTTGACAAACCCATGAACAGCAAAGGAATAGAGCTTTTTTCCAGGAATTCAACTTATTTTGCCTTTCTCACTTCTATCTTTAAAACCCAGGTGACAGGATATTAAAAAGCAAAAACAGAAAACCCTCCATTCAGGGAACTGACACAGGGAATCTGTGTACCAGCTTCTGGTTCTCAATCTACATACCTTGATTTTAACCTAGGAATAAGACTATGTAAGTTGCTATGAAAAAAACAGATAAACTTATTTATTTAGCACATGCTTTTTATTTACACTTGTACAAGTAAAGTAAAATGCCTTTAACTCTGCAGAATTAAAAACAGCATGAGAAAAATGCTTTATAGTCATCAATACTTACTTCCTAGCTAAGATATCTGGGGTCAGGGCTTCAGTGGTTTCTGAATCACTCAGTGCATCTTCATCATCACCTACCATACTAGGATGATAAGCACATTATAAATTAATACCTGAACTATAATTTTTCAAGCAGGAAAACAAGGTAGAGAAACATAATTCTATTAACTAAAAGTATCAATGTATTTATGGCTCTGTTGTCATCTTTGAAGTTTAATTTTACATTGTTTCTATTTGATGCAAATATTTAAAAGTATAGCACCAATCAAGAAAAGCCTTCAAATAATTAAAAAAAAAGAAAAAACATGCAAAAAAACCCCACTGCAACTATAAAAATAAATACTGAAAATGCGAATCATCTGGAGGGGAAAAAAAAAAACTTCAGTTAGTCCATCCAGTGACAGGGAAAAAATAATGCAGAAGAACCCTATCCAGCTTTAGAATATGTATTTGTACATCAACCTGAAGATAAGACACAAATGATCTATGCAGACACAGGTTAGGTAAAATAACAAAATTAGATCCTAAGACCTAATTCAGGAAGTTTAAAAGCTATTTAGCTTACCCAATCTACTCTCTAATGAAATATTTGCTCCCCACATAATTGCGAAAAATGGTTATCTTTATTATTTAAATATAAACAGTTTTAAAATAATGGCTACAGCTATTTATTTTTGAATCATGTTTGATCTTAATTTTTTTAGGATAGTTATCTCCAACCAACACAGATAAGGGATGTCTACTACCTTTATTGAAAAGGAAGAAAGCATTAACTTTGGCTTCTGGTACAATAAAAGTTTTAGGTTACGTTTTAAAGTATATACCTGTAATTAGGAGAAAAATAAGGATCACTTTCATAAATGATATGTCTACTTCTTCCCTCAAGCTTTATTAGTAGTGAGTTTCAGTATCTGTACCTATTTCATTATTTTTCTCCCCTTGTCACAATCATGTTAATTCTTGTTTTTACTGTTTTTGCTGTTATCAAGTTATCTCAACTTATCTTCCAAAGTTTCATCCATTGATTTAAAACAGAATTTCTGGGCTTCCCTAGTGGTGCAGTGGTTGAGAGTCCGCCTGCCGATGCAGGGGACACGGGTTCATGCCCCAGTCCGGGAAGATCCCACATGCCGCGGAGCAGCTAGGCCCGTGAGCCATGGCTGCTGAGCCTGCGCATCCGGAGCCTGTGCTCCGCAACGGGAGAGGCCACAACAGTGAGAGGCCTGCGTACAGACCTTCAATTTGTAAAAAAAAAAAAAAAAAAAAAAAAAAACAACAGAATTTCTTTAACTCTATTTTAATAGTAACTTCTGGATTTATGTTGTTTTACTTCAGTGACAAATACAAAATATTTCAGTCCTGAAAATCGTTATTTTTTTCAATACAATCTAGGCATGATCTGAATTAGGTATTTCTAACTTATTTAGAATCTCATTATGTTTATTGGTGCCTTATTTTTGTCTTCATACTAACTACAGCCATACACTATCATTTTACAACTCATTAAAAAAATGATAATGAGTCATTTGAGTCTGGAAGACTCAAAACTAACAATTACAATGCAATTATATGAACTACAATATCATGTAAGTTCAAAAATAAGGACATGAAACAGTAGTAATGTCCACTTGTCTTTGCATGGATTAAAAAAGAGTTACCATCCGTGAAGTTATCCCTTTCTGCAAAGAGAATGAATAAGCCCCTGACACCTACTTAGAAAGCAAACAAGCCCAGCTCTCATCTTCCTTTACAAATAGATGACTTTAAGGAAGGCAAAAGTCACTTTGTATATATGATTAGCAGCTAGGGACCACTGAGGTGCAATGAATAAACATTTACTACTATAATTATAATGTAAAAAATGGATTCCATAAAGTTCCATATTACTTTTACTATTAAACAAAAATATGCAGTTGGGTTATTAATTAGTGTTCCAGTAGCAAATATAAAAAAAACAGACAAAGATTCAAATCATCTGTTATCCAGAAGCTCATGTCAAATGCAAAATGGAAACAAGTCAAAAAAGGAATTCTGTGTACAAAACATTACCTATGGTAAGGAGTGCTAGGTTCATCTATTTTCATTAAACCATAGTCTTTGTCTGCTGGATGATATGTCGCCAGGATGTTCATTTCATCCCACTTCTGGGACTTTTTACTACAATAAGAAGAAAAAAAATTTTCCTCAATGTAGTGAAAGATACAAAATGTACACATCTAAAATTCACGAACATCCAAATCCCACATTGCAATTTCTATTTGACTGCTAACTTCTATTTTTACATCTACTTTCTTGGAACAGAAACTGACTTGGGTAAAAGCCATAAGTAACTACAATAACGTGTCAGTAAATATTTTACAGAATACTTAGTGCCCACATATTAAAAACACATTACAGTTGTCCCTCGGTATCCTCAGAGGATTGGTTCCAGGACTGACACAGATACCAAAATCCAAGGATGTTAAAATCTCTTCTATAACATGGCATAGTATTTGTATATAATCTCTGCACATCCTTCCGTATACTTTAGATCATTACTAGATTACTTATAATGCCTAATACAATGTAAATGCTATGCAAATAGTTGTAAATACAACATAATACAATGCAAATAGTTGCTGGCACATGGCAAATTCAAGTTTGGTTTCTGAAACTTTCTGGAAATATTTTTTCCAGAATATGTTTGATCCATGATTGGTTGAATCGGAGGATGCAGAACCTGTGGATATGGAGGGGTAATCAGATTCTTCACCAGGCATTCAAAAAACTATTACATTATGACATGTTTAATCTTCATCTGGCCTATAGAATAACAGCAAAAGCTGGAATTTACACATTGCCTGATCTCAGTAGTTAACGATTTTGGATCTACGATATATTTTAAATAGTTTGATAAAAAACACAACAGGAATATTTTCCTTGGCCTAATTTTTTTTAGCAGTATCTATAACAATCAAAATAATCATAACATAAAACTACAGAGAAAACCTCATTAAATTCAGATACCATTAATAAAGATTTAGATTGCACATAAAATTATACCTCAGTTGTTTTTTTTCAAATTTAGAAATATAACGATTTGCTGATAAATGGTTTCAGGTCACCTGGAATAAATCTACTTAAGAAAACTAGAAATGCTTTGTAAATGCTTTATGAACATCCATTAGTGTCCATTCAACAAAATATTTGTACAACTACTAAGGTGCTCAATAATTAAATGCCTTAATTACAAATCCTTATCTACTCATTAAAAAGGACATCAACAACCTCTGTGCCAGCCAACAATCTGTTACATATACAATTTGTGACTTGGTTATATACTTAAAAATATAACTACCTTAAAAAAAAAATCAATGGAGATTTTACACAGATTCAAATCATCCTTTCCGTATTTGCTCAACATTGGTGAGGTTTTACTGCAGATATTTTCAATTTTCCTAAATCTACCAATACCTGGATCTTGAACTGCTCTTGAAGAAAGACATATTTAAAATTTTAATGTCATATTCTCTTCTCCATGTTCTGAGTCACCTTAAAAATTACATGTGCCCACTTGTGGCAGTTAAGCCTGACTTTATGTTCTTCTGCTTTCTACCATAAAGGGCCCACAGTGTCCCCATTTAAGGCTAATCACTTTTTTCCTTCGTATTTTTATTGTGGTAGAATATACATAACATAAAATTCACCATTTTAACCTTTTTTTTTTTTTTTTTTTGCTATTCGCGGGCCTCTCACTGTTGCTGCCTCTCCCGTTGCGGAGCACAGGCTCCGGACACGCAGGCTCAGCGGCCATGGCTCACGGGCCTAGCCGCTCCGTGGCATGTGGGATCTTCCCGGACTGGGGCACGAACCCGTATCCCCTGCATCGGCAGGCGGACTCTCAACCACTGCGCCACCAGGGAAGCCCCATTTTAACCATTTTTAAGTGAATAGTTCTGTGACATTAAGTACATTCACATTATTGTGTAACCATCACCATCATCCGTCTCTAGAACTTTTTCATCTTCCCCAGCTGAAAACTCTGTACCCACTGAACACTACCCCTCACCCCGGCCACAACAACCATTCCATTTTCTGTCTCTAAGACCACTCGAGGTACCTCTTATAAGTGGACTGATACTGTATTTGTCCTTTGTGGATGGCTTATCTCACTTAATGTCTGCATGGTTCATCTATGTTGTGGCATGTGTCAAAAATTTCTTCCTTTTTAAGGCTGAATAATATTCAATTTCAGACTAAGTACTATTAACTATAACTTCCTTTTAAGCCTACTTACCCTTAGTTTTATCAAGAGGCAAAGGTTGGCCTAGATATACTCCACAGGTGACTGACACTACAACACCCATTCCTGCCCCCCACCAAACAGAAGTTTATTCACCATGAAAAAATCAAAATCTTAAGTTTATAAGAAGCGAAAAATTAATGGGTCGTTTATTTTTAAAGCACAGAAATAACATTTCTTCTTTAAAGAACTGCTTTTTTATTCATTCAGCAAGGTACTCACCTGAATTTTCAACTAATCAAACTTAAATGTTGCTAGTGTGTGTATGTATATAACACTTGATTGAACTAGACTGTGTATATAGATGTTGCTATAAAATAGTATTGATTTCTTTAGATGCCTAGTTTCTGACAATCAGAGTAATAGTTGGTCTTGTGGCGAAAAACAACAACAGTAACATTCAACTGGGAGATAGATGTTTAAGGTTCAAGTTCCACTTACCCTTCATTAGTCTTGTTACTATAGGCAAGTCCAACAAACATTCTCTCTTGGGCTGTATTTACTCTACATGGAAATTATAAAAAATGGAATTTTTAGGATTTTTAAATCTAAAGTTTTGTTACAAGTCTGGAAACCATATCTCACTTAGCACTGTGAGAATGGCTTGTGATAAGGCATTCTGAAAAAATGTTTAAATTGCTTATGTATGAATGCCTTCTCCCACTGTCCCACAAGAGTCAAAATTTAAATGATTTTGAAATATTTATGATCTGCTACAGAATGAGTTTTTCTAAAAAGCAGTCAGTTTTCTATTTGACTAAATCTACAGTTTCAGATTTGTATTTTGCTAAATAGCTCTATTATCTACAAATTTCTGTAAATTTAGAAAGCAAATGATTTAGGTCTTCTCATGGCCATATTCTACGTAAGGAAACTCACAGTGAAAAGAGATACACTTTAAAGATTTTAGACAGCAGAAATGATCAAGAAGCTTCTGATCAGAAGGATAATTAAAGACATATACAAATTTTAAGAGAATTAGATTAATTTTGTGAAGAAGCAATTCAATTAATAGACAAAGGGAGACCCATTATATGGTAACTCAATGTTCCCTCCTGATAGACAAGGCCTCTGAAATGATAATCCAGAGTTAAGTCCGAGTCAGAAACACAAAAGCACAGGTAAACGTTTCATAAAACCTGTATTAATACAGTCCAATTAAGACTCCCTATTAAAGATATTGTAAAAGATAACTAGCACATATCTATTTACATAAAGTTCAAGAGCACGCAAAAACTAAAATGTATAGGGATGTATACTTAGGGAATTACCATAAAAGTCAGGATAGTGATTATATTACAGGGGAGGAGGAGACTGTGATTGGAAAGGACAGGAGACATTTCTTTTCTTTCTCCTTCTGTGTGTTTTTTTTTAATATTTATTTATTTATTATTTATTTTGGCTGCACTGGATCTTAGTTGCGTCATGCATGAGGGATCTAGTTCCCAACCAGGGATCGAACCCTGGCCCCCTGCATTGGGAGCGTGGAGTCCCACCCACTGGGCCACCGGGGAAGTCCCAGACAGGAGACATTTCTGAGGTGATGGAAACATTCTTCTTCTTGACCAGGATGGCGGTTACAGGGGTGTTTGCTTTATAATTATTCCTTAAGCTTTAAAATTACATCTAATACACTTTTCTGTATGTGTATTAAATTACAATAAAATATTTAAAAAATAAACACATACAAAATGACTTTGCTAGGTGTGTCCTAATCTCAAAGTAAAACAAGCTACTTCCTAAGTGATGCTAACAATATTGAATTAAAATGACAATTTATCATCATTAGAAGAATGAAGATGGCCCTCTGAAGTTACAGAGGTAACCCCAAACACCCTGCAAATCTGTTCTGTGAGATAATGATAGAAGAAAAAGAACTGAATTGTAGGATATAAGAAGAAATGATGTTTTCTTGAAATTAAGGATAAAATTTAAAAATCACAATCCTAGTACCTTAACCCACTAACAATTTTGATTTCTGTATATTCTTTCCACTCTTAACATATACGAAAAAATACCCAAGCTATTAGTATATATATAGACAAAACAGTACACATATAGTATATATAAAAATAGCTTCTGGGCTTCCCTGGTGGCGCAGTGCTTGAGAGTCCGCCTGCCGATGCAGGGGACGCGGGTTCGTGCCCCGTTTCGGGAAGATCCCACATGCCGCGGAGCGGCTGGGCCCGTGAGCCATGGCCACTGAGCCTGCGCGTCCGGAGCCTGTGCTCCGCAAATGGGAGAGGCCACAACAGTGAGAGGCCCGCATAACGCAAGGAAAAAAA